GCTGGAGAGACTTCTAAAGGGCAAACTGCAGCGATGGTTGACTATAGGAAAATAGAATCAGCCCCTAACAACATAAAATGTCTCACCATCTTGTGTGCACACCATGCTATCTTTTTCCATGCACATAGCACAGTTGAGCCACTTGATGGTTAAGTGCCGCCCTGTCTCTAATTGCTAAAATAGCATAGCCCATTCATCAGGCTTAGTGACTGTCCAGCATCAATCATCCAGTCTTTTGAGGTTTCTCTCAGGCCTGTTTGGCCGGACTTCAGGTAAAAGCCCACGGCTACGCTCCCACAGAAACGTACACGCAGACACACAAGCATGCACACAAAAACACACCTACACATGCTGTCACTCATGCGTGTATGTGCTTTGACAGACATCGACATTCCCCTTCTGACTTCCTGCACTGTTTCCATGTGCAAGAAAAAGTCCGAAATGGCTTCCATGTGCCAGTAGGCGTTGAAGGCTCAGTGTAAAGTTTGTGCTAATGCTTAGCTGCTACACCAGGAAGTCCATCTTTGTGCTTGAGGGTCTTTACCTACTGCGTTTCTTCGTTGTGTATGCCTCCTACACACACCCACCATGCAGCTTATTTAGATTTTAGCCTGACTGTTTATGTATTTGTTTAACAGAGCAGGGACTCCTCATTAGTGGCCATGCATGGCTGGATGCTGATGATAGCACCCATAGGGTATCAAGGCACAGGGGGAGGTGATGCCGAGTTCAGGAGGTTGGATTTGCCCCCCTTGTTCCAGCCGCCTCTCAGTGCTTCCCAGGCATTCGTCAGGCCGCCAGGAGTAACAGATGTACCCCTGGAGGATTGAGAGAAAGAAAGCTGACTGTCGATTGTAATGAGGTGGAGGGGGAAGTGTGGCGCATTCTAAATAATCAAGGATCGGTGAAAATGGGGTCTTACAGAACTTGGGAATAATGGGAAAAAAAAGCTTGAATATGTGAGGTGTTGTTGATTATTCCAACAGTTTGTGGTCGTTTGAGAAATAGTCCTTTCTTCAGCTACTTTTTTTGCCATCTAATGAGGGCCAGAGTGCCTTCACTGAAGGCTCTGGTGAGCTGACCTGTGCTTTTTCTCACACCTGTTTGCTTTTATATTGAGCAAGGACTTTTCTTTTCCTTTCTGCTTCTACTTTTTGTGTTGGTCTTTTGTTTTCCTCCTCAAGCTGGTCTTATTCCTCTATAAAGACAAACCCTTAATGTCTGTGAACCTATACAGCTAAAGCTGTTATAATAAACATAGGTCGCAGAGGCTTGCAGAGGAGACAACGCGCACATCTCCGAAATCAAGCAAGCTGACCCAATGCCCAAACTTCTGCCGGGAGGCAGGTTTGAAACAGAGAAGAAAAAAACATTTAACATTATCCAAGATTTATGTTCGTATAAAAGAAACAGCCATGTAAAACTCTCCAAATGACCCCTGTGCAGACTCACCTATGTGCAGCTTGTTTCAGCCTTAAAAGTACTGCAATACTACAAAAAATGTCTTTGTGTCGTTATGAGGTATTTCATAGACTTATCATCTTTATTCTTTTATGACAAATAAGATCCTATCTAAAAGATATCTCTATCTATCCCTTTCTTTCTTTGCCCTCTCCAGTTCTTTATTGCTCACTTTCTGTCTTGATCTCTTGTCATTTTCTTTAATTTATATTTTATTTTTATTCACTCACTCATTGAGCCACTCACTCACACCCAGTCCTAACCCTAACCCCCACTCATTTACCCACTGTCTACCGCCTTCGCTTCTTTTGACTTCTCTTCTGTTCTTTCACTTACCCTCCAGTCTGGCTCGCTCAAGTTGCCACTGGAGCGTTTTGGCCTCCGTCAGCTTTTCTTATCAGACAGAGCTCATTTGGCTACCGTACCAGGGCTGAGTTCAGACTGGGGCTGAGGCTCCCCCTCCCTTTATAATTCCCCAACTCCCTTGCTGCTGGCTTGGCTGGCCCACGTAGGCCCATCACGTTGAAGGGCAGTGGGTCAGATGAGAATCACGAACAACAAAGGCTTTAAAATGACTGCTGTTTCAAATAACTCCTAGTAGAGAGTCACTGAGGTGTAAAAGGAAAATGAGCATGGGCAAATTTGTCCACTGATACCCGAGTTTGTTTCTCTACTAGTGTAAAAACACATAAAGCATGGTGATTTGAATGGGGATAAAATGGTCTCCTTGCTTTCCAGAGATTTGGGTTCATAACCCCATGCGTCCGTGCTTGCATGCTAAATGTGCTGCTCTATAATCACCATTGCCACTTGCAATAAAAGTTGTAAACGTGGTGTTTCTAAATGGCATCAGGGTTTCAACATGTGATTTAAGCCATATGTGTCAAAACACAATTTATATCTACACACCATATGTGAGCAGATTCCATAGATAGCCAGAGACATGCGGTGTACAGCATGTCTGTGGGGTTTGTGCAGCAGTCGTTACAGACAGTCAAAGGCTGCCTCTCTAACCTTTAAACTGCCACCAGCCACCAGGGACCCCAGGGGACTCAATAAAAACATCCATCATACCACTGGCCATCAGCCAGCTCAAAAAAGGAGAGTCAGAAAGAAAAAGTAAAGAGAGAAAGTTAATGACCACATGTCTGAATACTCCTGTGAGATTTCCTGCAGACTCCCCTTCTCACCTTATTGTCTGTCACAGTCCGTCTCCTTCCCTGCAATTCTCTATTCTTTCAGACACACGCACGCGCGCGCACACACACATACACAAAAGGCCTCACTGTCTGTCTGGGGGTCATTGCATCACAGATGGCTGCGTTAAGTCAAACTGTGGAGTTATGTGTGACCCTGACACCGGGGTCTGACAGTGACTTTCCCTCTTGCTGAACTGCTCCACTGATTTCTCTCCTACTGAAACCTCTCGGGTATCTTTAATTAGCCCAATTTTTCTATTAGGTCTGCAAGTCTCTGTAGACCCTAACACTGTCTTATCCCGATGTCGTTCCCTGTTTCCATCTCCATACCCCAAAGGCCTTGAGGAAACCATTATATAAGAGGAAAACCATTAGGTGTGAATAGGTTGTGAAAACAACCAAGATGACATGCTAATGACATCGGTGAAGTGGCACAAACCAGAGGTTCCTTTGGTCTTTGATAACTCCTGCAGTGCCTCCCATCGATGGTAGTAACCACAGCTACTTTGGGCGTTCGAAGGAAGGCAAACAGGAAAATCACACAAACCCGAGCAGCATGACACAAAGCAAGCTTTGCAATCTGGCGCTCGACCTGGGCGGCAATGGATTAGGACAGCTGAAATAAAGCATGGCTGGGTCTTCGTAGATGATGGGAATAGCAGCTAGGAGAGGGTGGAAGGATGAGTTGCAGCCCCGACAAACTATGTATTGACTAGACGATGCTTCTGTCTGTCTGGTTCAGGTTTTCAGGCCCAAGTGAGGATGACACCACAGAATGCAGTTTGCAGTCCTATTCCATCCTAAATCCCAGCCAGGCTGGTGCCTAAATGATGTTTGTGGGAGGGCTTTGACAGGTTGGCACCCATTAAGCCTATTGTTTTATTGTAAAGAGAAAAGGCTATTTGGGTTTACTGGTAAATGCATCACTGCTGAACACTGTCATTTCAAACAAGGAAGATGCAACATTATCCTTTCCTCTCTGTGTCTTTCTGGCTGAGCACCAAGCCCATAAAGGACTACAGGGAAGGTTTAAGCAAACTGTGTGTATTTGTGTGTGTGTGTTTTGAGTCTACTACTTCGTACCTGTCAGGCCCTCACCCCTCTCTGTCTAGGCCAGCTCTTTTTGCAGAAATTAAGTGATTCACACTATCAGTATTAGTCTACCTCGTGTTAGATCCAATGTGCAATATGGATGCTCATATTCTGTCATTGTTGAAATGAATGCAGTGTATTTCTTAAAGATGTAATTAAGTAGCCACTTCCACCTTTCATCTTTGCTCCTCTTTACTGATACTCCACTGGTTCACATATTAAAAGTTAGTCCTTCACTGTGTTATGTGTTATGTTCAACTTAGGAATGTCACAAGAACTGATACTTCGGTGTCAAGGCAAAAGTTCTGAAAACACAATGGTACTCGGTTACCTATTGTACCGTAGGTACCGGTTACCGGTGATCCAACACGTGGAAGATGTCAACAAGTGTAGCTGCAGTGACAGCTCTGCCATCGTGTAAGGAAACCAGGGTGAAGTTAGTTTAGTATTTAGCATTTGTTGGTTTTCACAGCTGTTACCTTCAATGGCTCCTTGTCAAAACCTTGACTTCTCCCAGTTTTGCGATGTGTTGGAGAAATTTTTAGGCAGACATTTCACAGTTTTCAACTCAACAGATCAACTCAAAATCAACAAAGATGACGATGCAGTTTTTGGCGCAAATTGAATGTCTGTCCAACACACCTGACACTATTGGGGCGTCTTAAAAGTGCGATACAATCAATTTGATAAAAATGTCAAACCACTGCAAATATAAATAGTAAACAACCCTTAACATTTCTCACCTGTGCGTTTATACAAAAAAAAAACTAATTAATTAATTATTTGAGCACATTGCAAGGTTGTGATTTCAATAGCTTGCAGTCATTGTGTCTTGAAAGATTCTGTGTCATTGTCGTTCTGTGACACGTACTAGCTAAGTATTTAGAAAGTATTCCTTTGTTTTTCTGATGAACAGACATGTGAAATGGAAGGTCTCAGAAAAAGGTCCACACAATTTTTAATGAAATGGGTAGTGTGTAACCAACTGCTTTTACCTGCACGATGCCATCATTTTGTATAATAAAAAGCTTAATATACACCTGAAAAGCATCTGTTCCCTGAAATCAGACACCATAGATTTGTTCTGTTTGTCATTTAAAAGACATTTTCCTGGAAAAATTATCCATTTAGGTAACAATGAGTATGTTGCATTCATGGATTGGACATTTAAACAAAGCAACTTTAAGCAGAGTGCAAATACAGTGAGGTTCATCCAATTTTTAATTATTATCTGTGTTTCCTTTGCAGGGAGCAACAATAAGGCGCGACGAACACACAGGGGCCATCCTTGTGGCCCGGATTATGAAAGGCGGGGCAGCCGACAGAAGCGGTCAGTAGCACATCTTTTTGTCTGTTGCATGAGTGTGTGTATGGGTTTGTGTCTACCAAAACATTTTAATGTGTCTGCTGCATGGAGTCCAGTGTGCAACAAAGAAGGGATGTATTCAGGAATTATCATTGCAACCCAATCTACCAGTTCTGTGCCATAAATGGTCTTTATCCACTTTGTGTAAATATGAACATGAATGACAAGTATACTGAGAAGATTGTCTACATGTTTCCTTTCTGTTTTGTATTCAGTGCGTCCAGTCTGTTTGTTAGCTCTGCCACATTGAAGCCAAAGGCAAATTTCCACATGTGTTGACAATAAGCTTTTCATTCTTTTCCAATCTCAAATGCCACCACGATGATAAACATTAATCTGGTGTACTGTACACATCCCCAGGCGTGAGCGCTGGACTTTTACACGGTAGCTCAGGACATTAGAACAATGGAGTATCAGAGTGATTGTAGATTGGTTTGTGTGTGTTAGGACTGATTCATGTAGGAGATGAACTGAAGGAGGTTAATGGAATCCCTGTGGAGGACAAGAAACCAGAGGAAATCATTCGTATTCTGGTAAGCCTCATCTATGTGTGTGTGTGTGTGTGTGTGTGTGTGTGTTCTGTCCAAGGGTTTCTCCTGTGTTTCAGCTCCACTCCCTTGGCGAAAATAACATTCCTTGTTTGTGATGGCAAAAACCTCCCGTAACTCATCCAGGACCCTGTGCCTCCTGTCACTGTGCTGAAAACTAAACACTGGCCTTCATACCACATGCACTGAGCCACACAGTCCCCCTGGATAAGATTGATGCTTAGTAGTCCCTCCAAACAGGCTCTGCTGCAGGCCTCAAATAAGTTCCATCATGGGCCTGAACTCTGCTAGGGGGGACAACTGTAGAAGAATGAGTCTTTTTTTTTTTAACTCTGGAGGCCAAGTCTCTGCCAAGTCATCCAATCCTAATAACCCTTTCATTGTTGAACAATCAAACAGTGCTTTGCATGATGTGACTTTCATTGGATTAGGTGCTTTGTGAAATATTTGCAGGACAGATGACTGTTGTTTCCACCCCCTTCATTTGGATCTATCTTGTCTTCCCAATATTCAGGCCCAGTCGCAAGGAGCCATTACCTTTAAAGTTGTCCCTGCCGTCAAGGAGGAGGTGCCAACCAAAGACCCAAAGGTAGGTCTTGTCCTAATTGTTTTGCAATTGGATTACAGTCTTTGACTTACAACACTGTGCTCCAGCTGATGTTTGTACAAGGAAAGAAGAAAGCAGTAACAATACAGTAACTGTAGCTGTACAGTAACTAGGCCCTTTTGTAGGTTATTGAAATTTTTTTATTGCTTAGTTTCAGTACCAATTACAAATTGACACGTCCCTTCACATATTCATAGGCCTTCAAACCGAGGCATTGTTGCTCCTCTATCACTCAAAGTTACCCCCTAACTGTCTACATTAGATGCGTTTTAGCCGTGTTAATGTCTAGAGAATACATCTCTCAGTCATCCAAAATTCACAGTGCTGTAGTTGCTAACTCTCGTTTTAATTTGTATACTGGTCAAGTAACGGCTTCAGTCATGCACAAAGTGTCTTTTTTAACAGATGACATGAAAAGTGTTGACAGTGACTTCAAAAACGATTCTACCACCTTCACTGACAGGGCCAGATTGTAGTTCAGAGCCAGACTGCTAGCTTAACTCAGCGGTTGTAGTAAAGAATGCAAATTAGCCTCAAACACTGTAACACCGGTCAACACAGTAAATTAATTAGAGTAGGAATAGAAGTAGAAGAAGAAGACTTAGTGTGACGCTACCCTGCACCTAAAGGGCGTGGACAGGCATTACTCATTTAAATTTTCTCTGGAAAAGGGCAAAAATAACTTTTATAATGAGCAGTATACACTGGGACCAGAATCAATTGATAATATAAAAAAGTGACTGTACGTTCAGTTTACAGTACGTTCCCACAAAATTAAATTAGAGGTGCTTTCAGACTGCGAGCATTTGCCACTGTGTCTGTTGTTAATGTTTATTTTCAAACAGCGGCAGAAAGTGCACAACTCCCAGCTACCTCCAGTCCTATCAGCCCGTACACCAAGAGGTTTATAATCCAGGGCACTCAGATATCTGTAAAATCAGCTGTATTGTAGATCTTGTCGTTACCATGGTCACAGAGCAAGCCACGGCAGCAAGTTGAGAAAGTTGGATTATAAACTCCAAATGCAGCAGCAAAGAGCTGTCTGTACACATTCAGGAGGGCAGCAGCCGGCCTCTGCCATTTTTTGCTACCTCGGCCACGGCACATCACATCACGTCACATTTATATTGAAAACAATGGGGGTGGAGACAACCACTTGCTGTCTGAAAGCACCTTCACTGTTGAGTTACTTTTAAAATGTTGTCTGAACACATTAGCTTTAAAAGAACTTTATGAAAGAATAGGTGAAGAAGACTATGAATCTGTCTGGACATTACACGCCAGCTTTAAGCACTTAACAGCGTCTGTGCTAAAGATGTATTTCTGTTGGTACCAAAATAGTATTGAGGTTTGACACCCAGCCATATGTGGGACGAGATTATCTTTATTCATGTGGATTGCCCCAGGTGGTAGTAGCTTGTAACCATTCATTTTGAGGGGGGTCACTCCAACCAGCATACCATCATTCTAACCCGCTGGGGTGTTGATACACCATTTCTCACAGGCTCATCTATCAGTAGGAGACAGAGGCTGGAACCACCCGTTGGTTTTAAGCTCCAGGGTTGAAGGTGGTATATCATTATTCACAACGCAGCCCACACTGCATGTGTTACAGAGGTGTACAGGACAGGGTTAGCCACTTACACCCTTTGTCATCTTGTAATGGTTGAAATTGTCTGGCCGTTTTCAGGAATCCATCTGAAATATAGTCCGCCAGTGCCACACTCAGCCACTCCTTCATGAAAATAGCCTGCGTGCTTATGTAAGGTAGTGTCAATGCATCAAAGGGCAGCTTAAGTGGCTGAACATGTACAGGCCAAAAAAACAGAGCCAAGGGAAGAAAAGCATGAGATCTTAGTGTGTAGATGTATGACTGTATTCTGCTGGAGAGCTTAGCAGCCAGAGTGGCTGTTATGACCCAAACAAAACATCTCTGTCTGAAACATAATTTTATCATGGCACAAAGCACTCTCTAAATCAGTAGGACATCAAAAAATGTAATCTCTCCCTCCCTCTTCCTTGTTTTCTCTCTCTCACACACACATACACACTTTCTTTCCCTATTTTCTCTTTCCACATGCATTGAGGTGTCTTATGAGTGATAACTCATCATGACAGAACTCAATTTGGACAGAGGACACAGGAAGGTGCTTTAGGTTGCAGCTCGCCGCCCACAACAGGAAACAATGTCAGAGACTTTTCCACTATAAGGTCGAACCTCCTTTGTGTTGATGAGGTGTGTCCCACCCCCTCTGCCAAAGCAAATTAGACACTTTAAAGAAAACCTTAAAGAACCTTAAAGAAAGAAAGAAAACAGCTTTTATTATTGGTTTGTTCTTTAATGTGGAAAGATTCCTGATATTAGTTTGTGTTTCGTCATCGGTGGAACAGCACACTTCCAAGTAGAGTCTCTGACTCAGGAGATGTTAAGTCTCACCACACTTGGAAGATGGTGACAGGGCTTAGTCCATCCTAAGTGTAGATGGAACAACATAGAGAGACTAACTTGGCCAGCAGTTGCAGGTTTCAACTTCTGATTGCAATGACCTTTCTCGAATAATCACCCTGATCGTTGGAGAAGCACCTTCTGTGTTTGCCTCAGTGGCTTGCCTTTAGAGTTCACACGCAATGGAGGGAAAGGCCATTTACAGTGAACCGTTGCTTTTTCCGGCTTTGCCCTCAATCCAGCTCTTTGTTTTCTCTTATTCCCTCCCTCTCCTGTGTGTCCAGGTGTTTGTGAAGGCGCTCTTTGACTACGACCCTAAGGAGGACAAAGCCATCCCATGTAAGGAGGCTGGACTGGCCTTCAAGAAGGGCTCCATCCTTCAGATCATGAGCCAAGATGATGCAACTTGGTGGCAGGCCAAACACGAGGGGGGCACCAATCCCCGTGCTGGCCTAATCCCGTCCAAACAGTTCCAGGAGAGGTAAGAAACAACCCCAGCTAGACCAGCCTGTCCTATCAACTGTTGCGTCTTGACAAGGCTGGCTCCAACTGCCACTGTCACAGAAGTTTCACTCTCTTTCTCTCCCCTTTCTTCTTTTTTTTCTTGCTTAATACTGCCAAAATAGTCTGGATTTCCGCACAATGTCTGGCCTGAAATGAGTAATGACAGAAAATGATAGCGCTGGTACTGATCCACTTTGGACGGCAAGTGGATGGAAAATCGCACATCAGTGTGCGCTCGGATGGCCGCACTTGATGTGCAACACAGAGCTCATGAGGCCGGGGCAGTTTCTTGGCACCGTCCAAGAGTACCCGAGAAGGGAAAAGAAACCACACACACAACACACACACACAAAAAGAGGGAGGGAGGAGAGCAAAAAAAGAGAGAGAACATTTTACAAATTCAGATATAAACTTGTAGTTTTGTCACCAGCAAGTGTTTTTCCTTCACCTCCTCATTCCTTCATCTCCCCTTCTTTTCTGTCCCCTATCTCAGCTCACAGAATGAAACTGGATTTTGCAGAGTGGGTTCTCTGTAGCGTAGCAGGGAGTGCTTATTATTTCCTATGCTGTCATGAAGACTGATGGCTCTTTATTGTGCTTTTTCTTCCTTTTTTCCCTCTCTTCCTTTATCCTCCTGTCTCTTCTTCCAGGAGATTTGCACTGCCGCGACCTGCTGCGACTCTCCCGCTCCAGAGGACCTCTAGCCGAAGATCATGTAAGCATATATTCTCTTCTGTGATAGGTCATAATAAATCAGAACATGGCAACACACTGCAACATGTGGGTGGGTTTAGGAGAGGCAGTGCAGGTGAAGGAATGCTAACAAGCAATGAAGATTAGGCATGTTGCTCAGGACTCATCTCTGCACTCTGTGGCCACTGCTGAAGTCTGCCGTACAGTTGCACTGCCTCACGCTTGTCATCAGAGGAAGTGTTGTGTCTGGATTTACCCTCCCTCTTATTTTCCTGTCTGCTACATGTTTCACTCGCTCAGCCTCTTGCCAGACTTTCTTGCCTCTGTCCCCCTCTGCCTTTTTCATGTGTTGATGTGGTCTAAGTCATGCAGGGACTTTAATGTGAAGAAGGAGGAGATTTGCCCTCTGGAAAACCTCTCTGAGTCTTAAACCCTTCAGCCAAAACACCAGCAATCCTACCCATCCAGCTCACCTCTCCACATCTCAGAGAGCCTAATGACGGATAAATGATCTGATGCTAGACCTACAGATGTGATGGAGTCTCAATGCTGCTCTCTGGAGAACATTAATGTACCTTGTCATGCAAGCCTGCACAGTAACCCTAACCCTGGCCAGTCAGGGCAGCAGAGAACACATCAGCAGGAGTACTTATCACAACACTATACAATATAACACGGCTGGATGCAGGGAATCAGGAAATGGAGGGATTATAACGAAACTACCCTTATAAATTACAGTTTGTTGATTTCCTCATAATGAAGACAGAAGACATTAACCATGTTACACAAGAAAAAGACAGCAGCAGAAACGGGTAGGGGTGGCCTACAGACCCTGGTTTTAGGTTAAAGACTAGAAAAGAGGTTAATACTCTCACTAATACAGTGGCAAGCACAATCATCACTACTACTAAAATGAGAGTGTGGAAATACTCTAGTGTTTTACAACATAACTTTGAATCAGCCAGCCTGATCCCTGAATAGAGGGCAATTCCAAACAGGGTAATGGTGTGAGTAAGTCAAGTTGGAATGACCAACCCCACTGATTTGAGATTTATGGCGCCACTGGTAACTGGTTTATTTTTAAATTTAATTAAAATGCAGATAATATTATAAAGTTGTTCTCTTGCTGCAGACAATGGGTTTGCATGTGGCATTTATCACCACCCTGACTGTTATCGGTTGGGCCGATAGACAATGCCATCGTCCATCGGCGATGGCTGACAGACATCACGACGTTGAGCCGGCATGGTGATTGTAACTTGACTGAGAACTTCCGTATATTTACACCCGCGATCTGTTATCACGGCAGCAGGTGAGCCGCAGGTCGGTTTATTAATGACGTAGCCTATCAAACAGCTGAAACCAACATCTGCACCCTCTGTGTTAAATGCTGCTTTACCTGGTCTGTGCTTAAAATATCCACCGCGACTTGAAACGTAAGTTAATAGTTAAGTCTGTGCAAGAACATATGCACATAAGTTGACTGCTGCCTTCCTAAATAGACAACACGCCTGTTTTCTCTGTTGCTTGGAATAGCCACTATTCTGCTTTTATTGTGAAAGTATCGGGTCAGGAGGTAGCCTTGTACGCGCTCTCCGACCACAGTGACAATACAGCAACTAATGACATGCAGTTCACTAACACCATACAACAACCTGCTCCCAGGACAGCACAGACTCCAACATAAACTCCAACACAAAAACCATGTAAGGATAAAAACCAACAACAAAAATGACCGACGCATTACTCCACCAGCTAACGCACTCCATATTACTATCCTGTGTGCTATCGGTATTATGTCAAAGTGTTGATTTAGCCTGCAAGAAAGGATGTAATGCTACAAAGTGATTTGTTTATACTAGCCCATAGTGATTGAAGGCAGCTAACGTTAGCATGGATCCGCTGCTCTGTGCTTCGTAATGTTCAGTTTAGATTAGATTTATTGTTATTTTACCGATACTCACGTACAAAGCTTCTCCACCATCGCAGTCGCTGTAACTTACGTGACCCACAAAAAATACAATAATGCAACATAACAGCATAGGACATCACAGCAGAGGGCCTTTACTCTACAGTAATCTTACTTGCTGCAGTCAAACTGTTAAATAAAGTGTGGCAACAATCTCAATATAATACTCAGGCTAGCTCATTAACCATTTCCCAAACATTTAGCTGTGCTCACATTGCTAAGCCTCCGGTGAAAGATACACAAATGTTGTTTACACAAATGTCATGTTTGTTACTGAAAAGGCAGGCGATCTAAAGCAATGTAACGTTATCCTGTAACGGGCATGGATTAGTTCAACCTCAAGCTGATAAAAATTTTACTGTAATGCTGCAGTGGGAGTTGACCTGAGATTATAGCATGTTGTGTAAAACTGTCTCCCGGTTTATCTGTATAAAACCACTTTCACACTGCCTTATTTTCCAGGAGGATTGAGCCACTATGCCAGTGCTTGCTGCGCTGTATGAAAAGTAACGGTACGGAGCCGATAAGGGGTTTGATTTGAGCCAGAAACGTTAGTAGTAACAGAGCAAAGAGGAACATGTCTGGAGAAAAGCCACAGCCGGCATGCTGGTGTTTCAGCTTTTGTTGTGGGATCTCTGTATGGAAGCGGTTGTGTTTCGGATTATGCTCGCTCATGAGTTCAAGCCGAGCATGCGTACAAGCATCCATATGGTTATAATCTTAAAACGGCACCTCTAGTGGCCGCTGACTACCCTCAATATGTTCGCCATCTCCCACCAGCCACCAGAAAGAAATGCAGACCTGAGTTTGTAGTAGAGGTCTGCACAGCCCTGGCTTTTTACGAATAGAACCCACCTGCTCCGGCTGCTGTTTATGCCACAGCCGTTACTTTTGTACCCAACTGTTCTCCTGCACCTGCCCGAGAGTCTCAAAATGACAAAGACATTAGCTAGGATTTACAAACAGTTGCCAAATAGCAATTTGGTTTGTATATGGCAAGCTGCAGTGCATGAACGGAAGGCTTTCCAGCTGGCATTGTGACTAATATGCCTGCCTGTAGCCATGGAGGAGGAAAGCATGCTGCAAATATCTGTTGTGCTGAACTTGTGGGCCAGGCCGCCCCACACAGACTTAAGTCTGTGTGGGCCAGGCCGCCCCACACAGACTTAAGTCTGCAGTTTACTGACATTGTGCACTTTACTTGATGTTTGCGTTTTTGTTATCTTAAATCCCACATACCAACAACAAAAGCGTTCACTGTATATTACCTCAGTGTTCTAAGAAACAAGCTTATTTGCAAAACACTCACTGTGACTCCTCCTGCACCACCTTCCTGTCCTCACTCCTTGCATACTCGCTTTGTCTTCATATCTTTCCGGTATCTTCATTTCCATAACCATATATTTAGGCCTAATGAGAGCACATAGGCCCTGCGATGGACTGGCGACCTGTCCAGGGTGTACCCCGCCTTGCGCCCGATGTCAGCTGGGATTGGCTCCAGCCCCCCGCGACCCTGTACACAGGATAAGCGGTTGACGATGGATGGATAGAGAGCACATAGGTGCTCCACTGCAATGTGCTCCCTCCTTTGATTTTGCATTTCCCAAACACATGAAACCCTTTAGAAAAATACACATTTGTACTTGGCTTTATGGGCCTGCTCTGGTCTCACAGTGACCCCATTGAACCACAAGCAAGTTCTCGCTGGCCATATTTTTCACTGTAGATTACCACTTTGAGACGGACATGTCCATTTGACTACTTGTTTCCCCCAACATGGCGGTGAGCCCTTAATGTAACGTGACTCTTTCAATATGTAGCTCTGAAATAACCAACAGAGCTAAGCTGACCACCTCTAAACTTAGCATTAGGCTCTTTTACCTCAGATTCAAGCCCTTTGGTGAATTATGGATGTTGTCATTTCCTGGTTATGTTCAACCGCATACTGGCATACATGGTGCAGGATGGCCAAAAATAGCTAAAGACAGACAGTGCTGTACTGTTCCCTTACTATTTCATTTTAATGGACCAGTTCCTTTTATGAGTTATGGGATTTGTAACCCACCCTCCCCCCCTTCTATGCACAGAGGGCAGGTGTAAAATGTTGCAGAGTCTGCTGTGGCTCCTACCAAAGGAACATAAGTCTCCTTTTGACTGTAGCAATACATTCTTCCTAATGTCATACATACTGTAAGGATTAGTTGTGTGTGCAGCAGCAGTAGTAGGAAGTCCCTTGACATGGCCCCGTTAGGACTAGATGAATAACTGGGGAATGATAACAGTTCACTCTCTGTTCTTGCATAGACGCACACACACACATTCATTTCCTGGCATTCAATATAAAAAAAACTCAATTAGAGAAAAATGTTGGATCCAGCTGGAGTGTAAGCAACGAGCTGAGTGAATGAAAGTGAAGGGTGTAAAACAAAGTCCGAACTCAAAAGCGGAGATGCAGAAAATATAGGAATAGATGGAGAGAGAGAGAAGCAGTCGAGGGGTCACATTCGGTAGCAGATGTGGCCCTGTGGAGTGGTGGAGGCTGGGTCAAGAGAGATGGAGGGATACAAAGCTTGGATCCGTACACGCTGGACCGTCTAGGCCCCGAGGCAATAAACTACAACCTAATTGAAGGATACTGCGGAGACCCTGCTGTTACCGAATGGAGGATGGAGGTGGTGATTGAGGAGGGGGTCCCTTTCTGTCTCTGTCTTTCCAGCCCGGGAGCTCCATTGGTTGGAACAATATTGGTCTTGGCGAGGGACTACGGCGAGTATTGCTTAACCATGTCCATTTACGCCTAACATTTGCAAGATATAAATAATCCCTTTCCTCACTGTTTCTCTCCCCACTTTCATGGCTGCATTCCTCGGTTATGAAACTGGTTTAAAGCACCATCAGTTGCCCCGTTTAAGCCAATTATTAATCAGGTACAGGGGATAGATCAACTATTTGACATCTATAGTTGTCAACCTGGCCTACCTGCCTCCTGTCCCCTCCCTTTTCACCCCCCAGCTTCCTTTCATCGATATCTGGCTCTTCTCCAGCTTCCCCAT